AGGGGGGAATAGAGAGAGAGAAAGAGAGAAAGATTGAGTGAGAAAAAGTGGGTGGGGAGAGAGTGAGGGGTAGTGAGATGGAAAAAAGGGGGGAATAGAGAGAGAGAGAAAGAGAGAAATGGGAGGGAGAAAGACTGAGGGTGAAAAGGGGGATGGGGGGAGGGGAGAGTGAGTGAGACTTGTAGGGAGGGAGAATAGGAAGTGTGGAGGTAGAATAGTTAGGTTAACAATGTCGAATACGTAGGAAAGGTTCTTGAATCGCAAAGGTCATTAGACCAATCAGTTGAAAAACTACCTAGTGATAGGTTGAAAACCTTTATTTGTGGGATAGAATAAAAAGATTGGTAGAGGATGTCAGAGCACCGTTTGTTTGCTCTTTATGTCCCATGCGCAACAAAGCAAATTTATGTTTAGCAGGACCAACCATTATTAAAGTAACAATATTTGGTTGGTTCTGCTAAACATAAATTTGCTTTGTTGCGTGTGGGACATAAAAAGCAAACAAATAGTGCGTAGGCATCCTCTCAATAGTGTCATCAAGTTGAACAAAAAAGTAAGAAAAGACGTATTTCCATGTCAAACCATGGTTTTTTAATCATTAAAAATTCGCAAAAAATAAAAATTGAAATTAAGTTTAAAAGTAGTGGACAACATATTTTAATGTGAAGTTTAAAAAAATAAAAAAAATAAAAAAATAAAAAATGCATATCAGTAGTCAAATCACATACCAATGCTCCGCCTTTGTTGCAAAACATACAAATACGCTGCATATTATGTATGCTTTTTGAACAACTGCGTTTCGTCTGTTACTGCATTTTAACATGAATGGACCTGCCTAATCCACTCCACAGTTTTCAAAGCACATACTTGAACGGTCGGCTCGGAGCGTGGGCAGATTACCCACAAAAAGCGACACATTTTTTGGCTGCGTTTTGAAACATGTTGAGCACTGATCCACCGTTTGCCAACCTACCACATACGCCCACAAATCCGTTGCCGTCTATAAATGGGTTTAACTTATTTATTTTGCTTTTTACTGACACATTACGATTATTTTTTAACTATTCAATTTCTATTGAGAAATGTGCTCGTTGTATACGTTTTATAACAATTTTGGTCTCCGTTGAGATCTCGTTTGCATTCAGTGACCCATTATTCGAGAGGTATCGTTCCGTTTCGATAACGCATTATTTTTGTACCGTAATAAATACGAAACAACGTGTTGTTATTTGGTCAGCGACGAATATCTATTAATATCTAACGACACGTCTTTTTGTGAGGTGCATAGTGCATACAACGATTAGTGCAGTATTTTTCTCACTCAGAACACTTCCAACG